CAGCCAGTCAAAATGCTCTTGATTGTGCAGCTGTTTAACTTTTTGAGGATCTAAGGGCCCATGCCAAATCTTTTCATCCTCCTAAGGGGGAAGAGGCGTTATTGTGCCCTCTTCACGACTGTGTTGGTGTGTTTGGACCATAATAGGTCCTTGGTGATGTGGACACCGAGGAACTTCAAGCTCTCGACCCGCTCCACTACAGCCCTGTCGATGTGAATGGTGGTGTGCTCAGCCCTCCGTTTCATGTAGTCCACGATAAGCTCCTTTGTCTTATTGTTGTCCTGACACCAAACTGCCAGGTCTCTGACCTCCTCCCTATAGGCTGTCTCATAGTTGTCAGTGATCAGGCCTACCACCTTTGTGTCATCAGCAAACTTAATGATGGTGTTGGAGGCGTGCGCAGCCACGCAGTCGTGGGTGAACAGGGAGTACATGAGGGGACGAAGCACGCACCCCTGAAGGGCCCCCAAGTTGAGGGTCAGCGTGGTGGATGTGTTGTTGCCTACCCTTACCACCTGGGGCGGCCCGTCAGGAAGTCCAGGATCCAGTTGCAGAGGGTGTTCAGTCGCATGGCCCTTAGCTTAGTGATGAATTTCGAGGGCACTGTGGTGTTGAACGCTGAGCTGTAGTCAATGAACAGCATTATCACATCAGTGTTTCTTTTGTCCAAGTGGGAAAGGTCAATGTGGAGTGCAATAGAGATTGATCTGTGGATCTGTTGGGGCAGATGCGAATTGGGTCCAGGGTGTCTGGGATGATGGTGTTGATGTGAGTCATGACCAGCCTTTCAATGCGTTTCATGGCTACAGATGTGAGTGCCACAGGGGCGATAGTAATTAAGACAGGTTACCTTGGCATTCTTGGGCACGGGGACTATGGTGGTCTGCTTGAAACATGTAGGTATTACGCACTTATGAATGTTGAAGGTCTTACTCACATCGGCTATGGAGAGCATGATCACACAGTCATCCGAAACAGCTAGTGCTCTCACTCATGGTTCTGTATAGCTGGCCTCGACATGACCATAGAAGACGTTTAGCTCGTCTGTTAGGCTTGTGGCTGGGTTTCCCTTTGTAGTCTGTTATAGTTTGCAAGTGCTGCCACATCCGATGAGCGTCAGCCGGTGTAGTATGATTCGATCATAGTCCTCTATTGATGCTTTGCCTGTTTGATGTTTCGCTGGAGGGTGTAGCGGAATTACTGTCCCGCTCCTTGAAAGCGGCAGCTCTAGCCTTTAGCTCAGTGCGGATGTTGCCTGTAATCCATGGCTTATAGCTGGGATATGTACGCTGGTCACTGTGGGGACGACGTCGTTGATGCACTTATTAATGAAGCCGGTGACTGATGTGGTAAACTCCTCAATGCCATCAGATGAATCCCGGAACATATTCCAGTCTGTGCTTAGCATCTGCTTCATCAGACCACGTCCGAATTGAGAGTGTCACTGGTACTTCCTGTTTGAATTTGTGCTTTTAAGCAGGAATCAGGAGGATAGAGTTATGGTCAGATTTGACAAAAGGATGGTGAGGGAGAGTTTTGTATGAGTCTCTGTGTGTGGAGTAGAGGTGATCTAGAGTTTTTTCCCCTCTAGTTAAACAGGTGACATGCTTGGAAAAATGAGGTAAAACAGATTTCAGTTTTCCTGCATTAAAATCAACGGCCAATAGGAGCATCGCCACTGGATGAGCATTTTATTTTTGGCTTCGGGCCCTATAGAGCTCGTTGAGTGCGGTCTTAGTGCCAACATCGGTTTGTGGTGGTAGAATTCTTCATCCAAATCGAGTTTAGTTATCTCTGTTCTGAAGTCCAGAGGCCCTTTTTGGTCATAGATGGCGGAAACATTATGCAAAAAAAAAGTTAAGATCAGCGCAAATAAAACACACAAAATAACATAATTGGTCAGGAGCCCATAAACAGCCACTTTACATCCCAGCCTCATTCTGTCTAGAATGTGCCATTCAGCCTAATTCTGACATTTCTATGAAATTGCACTTAACCAGCCTACTTTGCTTTTAAATATTCATTGCTATCTGTTGTTCTTGTTTTTAAATATGTGATTTTCCCTGTATGTATTATGTTTGCTGCTAAATGAATTGCCTCGTTGAGGACATTACTTTTCTGAATCTGAATCTGAAAGACAAACACAGATAGGCTGCGTTTACACAGGCAGCCCAATTTTGATATTTTGCCCAATTGTTGGCAAAAGAGCTGATCTGATTGGACAAAAGACTGATTAGTGGAAAAATATCAGAATGTGTAAACGAAGCCATAGAGGAGGACATTCCAGCAGCTGAAATGTATTGTAATATCCTCAGCTCCTCTCACTCACTCTCTCACCAAACTAAACCTACTGTAGCAAAGGCCTAGAATGATTACAGCTGAAAATAGTCACTCAGATTACAGTAGTTATGAATGAGTGACAGCTTGTGTAGAGTTTCAGGCGTCTCTCTCGCTGCATGCTGTTTCTTTCTCAGTCATTATCTAAAAATCGAATCCTATGTTGAGTTTGGCTTTAGTGCAAATCGCCCGCTCATTTTAAGCAACACAGAACTCAAGTTTGGATTCTGGCCTTAGTGTCAACGATACAGTATAATTATTTCACAACTTGTCTGTGTGATCTATGAGAGGTGTGTGATGGTTTTCTGGGTGTTTTTCAGGGTGAACCTGGAGAGTGTAACTGTATCAGCCCTCCATACGCAGGAATAGGAGGAACAGGAGGACCTGTGAGTATGGCTAGTTTGCGCGTACACACACACACATGCATACACATACACAGCTGTTTTTTAATTAGTTTTGAGTTCTTCTGCAGGATAATTGTTTCACTGTAGGGTGCCAGTGTTTGTTCATGCATACTTATGATCTGCTGATGATGTACTCTGAATTTGACTACTCCTGCCTTGCAGGGAGCCCCAGGAACTCTGGGAGGAAACATGTGGCAGGTCTGGTCTCTCTATCATCTATTAGCCATGTCTGCCTTTTGGCTTCAGTTCACTAGTGTCACTTGGCTGAATATCAATTGAATTTGTTTTTGTTGTTGGAATAATTAGGCTCCAAATGATGCCTGACGATGTTGTGTGGTTCGCAAAGTCTCACTGGATATATGTGTATCTGTGTGTGTGTGTTCCAGGGGCCTCCGGGACCACCAGGTCCTCCTGGCCCTCCTGGGCTACAGGGCTTCATCGGCATCCCAGGACCCCAGGTAGGAGAGAGGGGGAGCATTCATTAAAATGAATATACTTTGGCCCTTTCTCTCTGTCTCTCTGTCTCTTTGTCTCTCTCTCTCACTCTCTCTCTCTCTCTCTCTCTCTCTGTCACGTTTCTCTCTCATTCTCTCTCTCTCTCTCTCTCTCCCCCTCTGTCACTTTTCTCTCTCTCTCTCTATCTCTCTCTCTCTCTCTCTCTCTCTCTTTCTTCTCTTCTCCACTCCATTGTTCTCACTCTTGTTGCTCATTTTCCTCCACCACATTTCAGCGCTCTCCTCCTACCACCTGCCACCTGCTCCCCGCTCCTCTACAGCACCTTCCTCCACCGTTGCCTCCTACCACTCCCTACCGCTTTCCCTCACCTTCCTCTCCACTTCCCACATTCCTCCTTCCACCTACCACCTTCCTCCTACCACCTTCCTCCTACCACCTTCCTCCTACCTCCTTCCACCTTCCACCTTCCACCTTCCACCTTCCTCCTCCACCTTCCACCTTATACCTTCCTCCTTCCACCTTCCACCTTCCTTCTTCGTCCTTCCACCTACCACCTTCCACATTCCACCTTCCTCCTACCACCTTTCACCTTCCTCCTTCCACCTTCCACCTTCCACCTTCCACCTTCCACTTCCACCTTCCCTCCTTCCACCTTCCACCTTCACCTTCCTCCTTCTCAACTTCCACCTTTCACGGTCCACCTTCCTCCTTCCGGGTCCCTTATTTCCTCTTCAGGTTTGGCTTCCATATTGGGTTCTGGCTTGGGCAGCTTGGGGTCATAGCTAATAAAACTCTAAATGCAAATTAAGACCAGATTAAAATTGCAAATGATTATCTTACATTTCATAATTTAAACATGCTACACAATAGTAAAAGTAAATATGCAAGTACATATATAACTATTGCATCAATACAATAGCTTAAACCATATCCATGTAATGAAACTATGCTAATTGTTAACCCTGTGGGCTGTAAAGGTATAATGGGAGTCTTTGTTAAATCTTAGCACGGCTTTAAACATTCACTAACTCTTGTGGGAAGCTTTGGGATTGTTGAATATTACTATCAAAATATGATACATTAGGAATATTGTTGGGAATATTGATGTTATAAACTGCTTATAAATCATAATTAAATAGTTATTTAACCATTTAGTAAACTTATTGTAAATTAGAAGACCTTCAAATAAAGTGTTAGGAGAATATTTCCTCTGATTGTAGGGGAAATCTGAAATCCTAATTCATTCTGAACAGTGTACAAAGGTAAATCAGATGAATGGGAATGCTGAGAGGAGTTTACATGACAAATGGGTCCCTTGTTTCCATTGGAAACAAACATGTAATATTGGTTCTTAAAGACCAGGCTGAGTTCACTGTGTAAGACAATAGATTGATTCATCTGAATATAATATTCATGTATTCATCAAGCACCCAACCATAACTTTGTGTGCGTAAATCAAATTGTTGAAATCAAAGCACTTTAAAACATATATATATATTCACCTCTTGCACAGAGATCCCTGCATGGTCTTTAATCTGGTATTGTGTTTATCTCTCAAAATTAGACAAAACAATCAAATGATTTACACTAAACTATAATCAAACTATTTAAATGAATTTAAATAGTTTTTAAAAACTAAACAACCAAACCAGAAGAGTCTGAACACAAACCAGGAGAGGGAGAACACAGGTGATTGGTTGTTCCTTCAACCTTGAACCTGTGACCCCTCTGACCGTTGGTGAAGAGGGATGTGGCAAGCCTGTGATTGGCTAAAACCAGTTGAACCTCAGTTCCTTCTTTCAGGGTATCCCTGGCAACGACGGGGTACCAGGGCAGCCGGGTCTGCCTGGGACAACTGTAAGTAAACAGACAGCAAGGGGGGAGTCACCTCCATTTAAATTCAGACACTTCAGACACTGAACATTTGAAAATCCAATTCCAGAATTGGGAAAAACTATTGTCAGTGTCAATGAATATCAATTACACTTTCTGATTATAGAATTCATTAGCTGAATTGTCTAAATTGAAATGGATTTGACCCCAACCCATGCCAGACATACAGTAGGAGGCGGAGCTAGAGGAGAGTGCCACGGCTTTGTGAATTGGCTGATGGGGGGAGAGAGAGAGACTGTAGTGACTGGAGCACTGGCAGAAGTTAATTGAGGATCTCTACAATTTCAACACAAAACTATACAGTAGGCACACTACGACTGAGTGGCAGTGCGTAGTGGCAAAGTATACCGTGTGTTTTTATAATTCAGAGAAATTAATGTCCTCACACTTTACTTTCTGTCTTAAAATGCACTTTTTGCCTTTTGGAGAGACTTTTACCATTGATTTGTGCCCCAAAAGCATGCACACACACACACAGACACACACACACATACACACACACAGACACACACACACAGACACACACAGACACACACACACAGACACACACACACACACACACAGACACACACACACAGACACACACACACACACACACACACACACACACACACACACACACACACAGACACACACACACACACACAGACACACACACACAGACACACACACACAGACACACACACACACACACACACACACACACACACACACACACACACACACACACACACACACACACACACACACACACACACACACCCTCAACAGAATAATCAATCTACCCACAGTGGAAACTTGGCTTCACACACACATCCACGCACGCACGCACGCACACACACACACACACACACACACACACACACGCACACACACACACACACGCACACACACACACACAAACACACACACACAGTCTTGTACAGCTAACCTTGTGGGGACACACAATTCAGTCCCATTCAAAATCCTATTTTTCCTAACCCCTAACCCTAGCTCCTAACCCTAACCCTTAACGGAATTCTAACCCTAACACTAATTCAAACCTTAACCCCTAGAAATAGCATTTGACCTCGTGGGGACTAACAAAATGTCCCCAGTTGGTCAAATGTTTGTTTGTTTAGTATTTTTGTGGGGACTTCTGGTCCCGACAAGAATAGTTAAACATGTCCACATTATACACACTCCAGAAGTGCTTCAGTCCGAACATCAGTAGACAGACAGACAGACCTACCAGCTGCTCTCTAGCTCCATGGACCTGCCTGCATGTTGAGTTTCAATGGATTTAATCCCTTAAAACAGACTATTAAAACGATTCACTCTTAGCTTAATTCTTAATGCACTCTTAGCTTAGTCTTAGCTAAGTATAAATGTATCCTTAAAAAACTAAAAACTTTCTCAGAAACACAATTTAACCGGTAAGTTATTTGAATGCAAATGAATCCATAAAAAAAAAAGACAATTTAACAAAATTGCAGGATATTTAAATAGGATGATATTGAAAGTGAATGACAGACTCTCTGACAGGTCCTGTTTAATGCATACAACCTTAGTCTAACAAACCTAATGAGCTGCACCATGCTAGCTCAAATTAGCCCTTCTGGCTATAATAACAACCATTTCAACAAAGCCAATTGGTTTTAAATGGGTTCGAAACCAGGTGAACTGCAATTCACAGGTTATCTCACTGTGTGAAGGGCCCCACTGCTAAAAAGTGGAAGTATTGTACTGTAAGTGGGTTTCCTGGTGTGATTGGAGTGGTACAAATGTTTCAGGCCAACCATGTTGTAAATCATTTAACTTTAAAACTCTAACAATAATCCCAATTCATACCTGGAATTAAATACCAACCTGCTTTGAAAGACTTGCAAAACCTTGTGATTTTGAATGTTTTGTGTCTCCTTGGGCAAATCTTAAATGATACCCTATTCCCTCTAGTGGCCTATGTGATTCTGGACAAATGTACAACACTACATGGGGAATTGAGTACTATTTGGGACTCCTGAATGGATCGTTCATCGAATTTGCACTGTACTGCAGTTCAACACTTTGGACTGTACTGCAGTTCAACACCGTTTGCACTGTACTGCAGTTCAACACTTTGCACTGTACTGCAGTTCAACACTTTGCACTGTTGCATCAATGTGCAGAAATCAATTGTACTTATACATTATAGTTGTATAAACCCCAACATTTTTACTGTAGAAGGATGAAGTTGCCCCTAGACGTTGATCTAAGATCAGTTTTGCATTGGCCCCTCCTTAGTGATTAAGATTAGGATTTGGGAAGGATAAACTGATCATAGATCAGTGCCTAAGGGCAACTTCTACTTGAAGCCTTTTACCCCTCCCTCACTGACTCTCCTCTCCCCCTCTGACCCCCTCCCCCCTCCCTCCCTCACTGACTCTCCTCTCCCCCTCCCTCCCTCACTGAATCTCCTCTCCCCCTCCTGATCCCCTCCCCCCTCCCTCCCTCACTGACTCTCCTCTCCCCCTCCTGATCCCCCTCCCTCGCTGACTCTCCTCTCCCCCTCCTGAACCCCCTCCCTCACTGACCCTCCTCTCCCCCTCTGATCCCCTCTCCCTCACTGACTCTCCTCTCCCCCTCCTGATCCCCCTCCCTCACTGACCCTCCTCTCCCCCTCTGATCCCCTCTCCCTCACTGACTCTCCTATCCCCCTCTGATCCCCCCCACTGACTCTCCTCTCCCCCTCTCTCACTGACTCCCCCCCCCCCCCCCCCTTTCATAGCCCCCTCCCCCTTCCCTCCCTCAGCATCTGAGGCTGCCTCAGGACCAGGACAGTCGAGGAGATGGACAGGTAAGACAGGAGGTAGGGAGGTGCACTCTGGAAGTTAGACTTTTATAGTATTGATCTTGAAAAATAACACCAAGGTGCATGAACTGTCCATGTAGTGTACATTAAGCACACACATTTCATGTTATAAACGTCTGTCTGTGTGCGTGTGTCCTCTGCTGCAGGAGGTGTGTGAGGACTGCTCCAAGGGTTTGCCAGGGGTACCAGGCATGGCGGGCACCAAGGGAGAGAAGGGAGATGAGGGCAAGCCTGCCGTAGGCCATGCCCCTGACGGCTGTGAGAGGGTGAGAGGCAGGGGGAAGGGAGCGTGGGGGTGGGGGGAAGGGGTTGCACAGGTGACGTGGTTAGGGGTGTATAAAATTTTGCCTCAGATTATAGTCCTGGAAATTCTACATGTTTATTCTTGGTTCATGAATCACTGGTACCTAACAGGGTTGCTGTCAATTCCAGTCAATTCAGGAAGTAGACTGAAATTCCAATCCATTGTACTCATGGCCTTTCTCTATGTGTTGCAGTGTTTCAGAAACCAAAGACTGCAGAGGGAGGAGGCTGCACAGGCGCCTGTAAGTCTCTAACGCTTACATTCACACATGCACGCGCACACACACGCACACACACACGCAACACACGCACGCAACTCACACACACGCGCTCACACACAAACACACGCAACACACACACGCACACACACATGCAACACACGCACGCAACTCACACACACACACACACACACACACGCAACACACACACACACACACTGAATAATTTCTTTATCTTCTTGTCTATATATAAAATAACATTTGATTTGATATGATATGTAGACCACCACTAACACCAATGGAGCTAATGGAGGCTGCTCTGGACCAGGAACACCAGGAACACCAGGCCACCCAGGAACACCAGGATCACCTGGAATAAGGGGGGAGACGGTAATTGTGTGTGTGCGTGTGCGTGTGTGAGTGGTGAAATATAGCGAGTTGCGTGTTATTGGTGTGTTGAATCTCTAACACAAAGTACCTTTCTGCCTACATTTCCCAGGGTCCTCAGGGTCAAAGGGGACAAGCTGGTGTACCAGGGAATATGGTGAGTTCTACACAAGAGATTGTAGGGCATTATAACACTTCATAAGGGTTTAGTAGATATATTATAAGCCAGCACAACAGAGTCAAAGCATGGTGTCTGTAAGAAGAACTGGGTGTCTATCAGCTGACCATATAAAATAATATTTTATTGTCACATAGGTGCAGTGAAATGTGTTGTTTTACAGGGTCAGCCATAGTAGTACAGCACCCCTGGAGCTAATTAGGGTTAAGTGCCTTGCTCAAGGACACATCAATAGATTTTTCACCTGCTATTCAAACCAGCGATCTTTTGGTTACTGGCTCAACACTCTAACCACAGTGCAAATAGTCCGGGTAGCCATAATGAACTGTTCAGGAGTCTTATGGCTTGGGGGTAGAAGCTGTTGAGAAGTCTTTTGGACCTAGACTTGGCACTCCGGTACCGCTTGCCGTGCGGTAGCAGAGAGAACAGTCTATGACTAGGGTAGCTGGAGCCTTTGACAATTTTGAGGGCCTTCCTCTGACACCGCCTGGTATAGAGGTCCTGGATGGCAGGAAGCTTGGCCCCAGTGATGTACTGGGCCGTACGCCCTACCCTCTATAGTGCCTTGCGGTCGGAGGCCGAGCGGTGATGCAACCAGTCAGGATGCTCTCGATGGTGCAGCTGTAGAATTTTTTGAGGATCTGAGGACATATGCCAAATCTTTTCAGTCTCCTGAGGGGGAATAGGCTTTGTCATACCCTCTTCACGACTGTCTTGGTGTGTTTGGACCATGATAGTTCGTTGGTGATGTGGACACCAAGGAACTTGAAGCTCTCAACCTGTTCTACTACAGCCCCGTCGATGAGAATGGGGGCGTGCTCAGTCCTCTTTTTTTTCCTGTAGTCCACAATCATCTCCTTTGTCTTGGTCACGTTGAGGGAGAGGTTCTTATCCTGGCACCACACGGCCAGGTCTCTGACCTCCTCCCTATAGGCTGTCTCATCGTTGTCGGTGATCAGGCCTACCACTGTTGTGTCATCGGCAAACTTAATGATGGTGTTGGAGTCGTGCCTGGCCATGCAGTCATGGTTGAACAGGGAGTACAGGAGGGGACTGAGCACGCACCCCTGAGGGGCCCCCGTGTTGAGGATCAGTGTGGCAGATGTGTTGTTACCTACCCTTACCACCTGGGGGCGGCCCGTCAGGAAGTCCAGGATCCAGTTGCAGAGGGAGGTGTTGACTCCCAGGATCCTTAGCTTAGTGATGAGCTTTGAGGGCACTATGGTGTTGAATGCTGAGCTGTAGTCAATGAATAGCATTCTCACGTAGGTGTTCCTCTTGTCCAGGTGGGAAAGGGCAGTGTGGAGTGCAATAGAGATTGCAACATCTGTGGATCTGTTGGGGTGGTATGCAAATTACAGGTGGGTCTAGGGTTTCTGGGATAATGGTGTTGATGTGAGCCATGACCAGCCTTTCAAAGCACTTCATGGCTACAGACGTCAGTGCTACGGGTCGGTAGTCATTTAGGCAGGTTATCTTAGTGTCCTTGGGCACGGGAACTATGGTGGTCTGCTTGAAACATGTTGGTATTACAGACTCAGTCAGGGACATGTTGAAAATGTCAGTGAAGACACTTGCCAGTTGGTCAGCACATGCTCGGAGTACACGTTCTGGTAATCGGTCTGGCCCTGCGGCCTTGTGAATGTTGACCTGCTTAAAAGTCTTACTCACATTGGCTACGGAGAGTGTGATCACATAGTCATCCGGAACAGCTGGTGCTCTCATGCATGCTTCAGTGTTGCTTGCCTCGAAGCGAGCATAGAAGTGGTTTAGCTCGTCTGGAAGTCTTGTGTCACTGGGCAGCTTGCGGCTGTGCTTCCCTTTGTAGATCAGTGATTCCTTCCAACAGACACACATTTTCAAGTAGGTTGGCTGCATTTCCACAGTGTTGGACCAGGGCCGCAGTGTTTACGTGGCCTGTGTGTCTTATAAAGCTTCATCGTTGAGGGATCAAGCAGAATGAAGGAACTTCATGTTGATACTTTACACGCGATGTCATACAGCCCTCTAGTGGCGCATCTTAGAACTACATCGTTATTGATGTAAATTAGTCAATCGTTAACTTTTTCCATAAGTATCCTTTTAGCAATAGCATCGCTTTAGCAATAGTAACCTTTTAGCAATAGTATCCATTTAGCAATAGTATCCCTTTATCAATAGTATCCCTTTAGCAATACAATCCCTTTAGCAATAGTATCCTTTTAGCAATAGTATCCCTTTAGCAATAGTATCCCTTTAGCAATAGTATCCCTTCAGCAATACTATCCTTTAGCAATACTATTCCTTTAGCAATAGTGTCCCTTTAGCAATAGTATCCCTTTAGCAATACTATCCCTTTAGCAATGGTATGCTTTTAGCAATAGTAACCTTTTAGCAATAGTATCCATTTAGCAATAGTATCCCTTTATCAATAGTATCCCTTTAGCAATACAATCCCTTTAGCAATAGTATCCTTTTAGCAATAGTATCCCTTTAGCAATAGTATCCCTTCAGCAATACTATCCTTTAGCAATACTATTCCTTTAGCAATAGTGTCCCTTTAGCAATAGTGTCCCTTTAGCAATAGTATGCATTTAGCAATATTATCCCTTTAGCAATATTATCCCTTTATCAATAGTATCCCTTTAGAATAGTATCCCTTTAGCAATAGTATCCAAATCAAATACACATATTTAGCAGATGTTATTGTGGGTGTAATGAAATGCTTGTGTTCCTAGCTCCAACAGTGCAGTAGTATATAACAATTCACAGCAATACACACAAATCACAAAGTAAAAGTCGGAGTGGCATTGACTAGAATACAGTAGAATACAGTATATATATATATATATATGAAATTAGTAAAACAGTATGTAAACATTTATTAAAGTGACCAGTGATTCCATGTACATAGGTCAGCAGCCTCTAAGGTGCAGTGTTGAGTAACCGGTTGGTAGCCGGCTTAGTGACAGCGGCTAAGTTCAGGACAGGGTACTGGGTGGAGGCCGGCTAGTGATGGCTATTTAACAGTCTGATGGTCTTGAGATAGAAGCTGTTTTTCAGTCTCTTAGTCCCAGCTTTGATCCCTTTTAGATTGGAGTAGTAACCCAGTGTCTTCAACACTAATGGTTAACAAATCAGAACTCAGAACCATTGTTTTAGCTGCCCCTCTCATTGCATGTTTCTCCTCTACAGGGTCCTCCTGGTTTTCCTGGTCCTCAAGGCTCATCTGGACTACCTGTGAGTTTACTATATATACTATACCAACACTACACCTATACTACACCAATACTACACATATAGTACACCTATACTACACATAATATACACCTATACTACACATATACTACACCTATACTACACTAATACTACACATACGGTATACTACACCTATACTACACCTACCTATACTACACCTATACTACACCTATACTGCACCTATACTACACCTATACTACACCTATACTACACCTATACTGCACCTATACTACACCTATACTACACCTATACTGCACCTATACTACACCTATACTGCACCTATACTACACCTATACTGCACCTATACTACACCTATAAGACACCTACCAATACTACACCTAAACTACACCTATACTGCACCTATACTACACCTATACTGCACCTATACTACACCTATAAGACACCTACCAATACTACACCTAAACTACACCTATACTGCACCTATACTGCACCAATACCACACCTATACTACACCTATACTACACCTATACTACACCTACCAATACTACACCTATACTACAACAATACTACACCTATACTACACCTACCAATACTACACCTATACTGCACCTATATTACACCAATACTACACATATACTACACCTATACTACACAAAGTATACTGCAACTATACTATACCTATTTTCACCTATACCACACCTACCAATACTACACCTATACTACAGCTACCAATACTACACCTATACTACAGCTATACTACACTTATACTACACCAATACTACACCTATACTACACATACAGCATACTACACCTATATCCACCTATACTACACATACCTATATTGCACCTATACTGCACCTACATATACTACACCTATATTCACCTATACTACATCTATACTACACCTATACTCCACCTATATTCACCTATACTACATCTACACTACACCTATACTCCACATACCTATACTACACCTACCTATACTACACCTATATTACACCTATACTACACATACAGTGAGGGAAAAAAGTATTTGATCCCCTGCTGATTTTGTATGTTTGCCCACTGACAAAGAAATTATCAGTCTATAATTTTAATTGTAGGTTTATTTGAAAAGTGAGAGACAGAATAACAACAACAAAATCCATAAAAACGCATGTCAAAAATGTTATAAATTGATTCGCATTTTAATGAGGGAAATAAGTATTTGACCCCCTCTCAATCAGAAAGATTTCTGGCTCCCAGGTGTCTTTTATACAGGTAACGAGCTGAGATTAGGAGCATACTCTTAAAGGGAGTGCTCATAATCTCAGCTTGTTACCTGTATAAAAGACACCTGTCCACAGAAGCAATCAATCAATCAGATTCCAAACTCTCCACCATGGCCAAGACCAAAGAGCTCTCCAGGGATGTCAGGGACAAGATTGTAGACCTACACAAGGCTGGAATGGGCTACAAGACTATCGCCAAGCAGCTTGGTGAGAAGGTGACAACAGTTGGTGCGATTATTCGCAAATGGAAGAAACACAAAATAACTATCAATCTCCCTCGGCCTGGGGCTCCATGCAAGATCTCACCTCGTGGAGTTGCAATGATCATGAGAACGGTGAGGAATCAGCCCAGAACTACACGGGAGGATCTTGTCAATGATCTCAAGGCAGCTGGGACCATAGTCACCAAGAAAACAATTGGTAACACACTACGCTGTGAAGGACTGAAATCCTGCAGCGCCCGCAAGGTCCCCCTGCTCAAGAAAGCACATATACAGGCCCGTCTGAAGTTTGCCAACAAACATCTGAATGATTCAGAGGAGAACTGGGTGAAAGTGTTGTGGTCAGATGAGACCAAAATCGAGCTCTTTGGCATCAACTCAACTCGCTGTGTTTGGAGGAGGAGGAATGCTGCCTATGACCCCAAGAACACCATCCCCACCATCAAACATGGAGGTGGAAACATTATGCTTTTGGGGTGTTTTTCTGCTAAGGGGACAGGACAACTTCACTGCATCAAAGGGACGATGGACGGCGCCATGTACCGTCAAATCTTGGGTGAGAACCTCCTTCCCTCAGCCAGGGCATTGAAAATGGGTCGTGGATGGGTATTCCAGCATGACAATGACCCAAAACACACGGCCAAGGCAACAAAGGAGTGGTTCAAGAAGAAGCACATTAAGGTCCTGGAGTGGCCTAGCCAGTCTCCAGACCTTAATCCCATAGGAAATCTGTGGAGGGAGCTGAAGGTTCGAGTTGCCAAACGTCAGCCTTGAAACCTTAATGACTTGGAGAAGATCTGCAAAGAGGAGTGGAACAAAATCCCTCCTGAGATGTGTGCAAACCTGGTGGCCAACTACAAGAAACGTCTGACCTCTGTGATTGCCAACGTTTTGCCACCAAGTACTAAGTCATGTTTTACAGAGGGGTCAAATACTTATTTCCCTCATTAAAATGCAAATCAATTTATAACATTTTTGACATGCGTTTTTCTGGATTTCTTTGTTGTTATTCTGTCTCTCACTGTTCAAATAAACCTATCATTAAAATTATAGACTGATCATGTCTTTGTCAGTGGGCAAACGTACAAAATCAGCAGGGGATCAAATACTTTTTTCCCTCACTGTATACTACACCAATACTACACATATATTACACCTATATTACACCTATACTACATCAATACTACACCTACCTATACACTCCTATACTACATCTATACTACATCTATACTACACCTATACTACTCCTATACTACACCTACCCATACTACACTTATACCACACCTATACTGCACCTACCTATACTACACCCATGTTACACCTACCTATTCTACACCTATACTACACCTATACTACACCTAATCTCTATTATATTGTCTACTGTATGTCTGTCTCCACCTCTGCCTTTAGTTCTTGCGATCTCTCTCTCTCTCACTCTTTCTATTTCAATATCTCTCTTCTACTTTGAAACACCATTACCACTGAACGGAAATCTTCCTGCTATCTCCATCTCTCCAGCTTTTTAATGAAAGTTATTTCAAATGAGGACAATTCTATTGTCTCGTCAGTTCATCAATGATTTCCCCTGTGAAAGTGATGGAGAGTGGTAGTGCCGTGCAGACAGCACACCAACACCCCTCATCTCATTCCATTGTTTTAGCAGAATGGAAGTCAGCAATGGTTGAACGCTGTGAGCCCAGCATGGAATCAATTTTGAAACGTTAGGGAGTGTTTAATTCCAGGTGTGTGAATGTGTGTGTGTGTGTGTGTCTCTGCCGCACTCCGTTCTGTTGAATTGTATCTGATTAAATAGTAGCGGGAGCTGAGAGAGGGGGGTGACAGATAGAAAGGGGCTGAGAGAGGGGGGTGACAGATAGAAAGGGGCTGAGATATGGGGTGATGGATAGAAAGGGGCTGAGAGGGGGGGACAGATAGAAAGGGGCTGAGATATGGGGTGATGGATAGAAAGGGGCTGAGAGGGGGGGACAGATAGAAAGGGGCTGAGAGAGCGGGTGACAGATTGAGAGAGGGAGGTGACAGATAGAAAGAGGATGAGAGAGGTGGGTGACAGATTGAAAGAGGCTGAGAGGGGGGGGTGACAGATAGAAAGGGGCTGAGAGAGTGGGGTGACAATAGAAATGGGCTGAAAGAGGGGGGTGAAAGATTGAGAGAGGGGGGTGACAGATAGAAAGGGTCTGAGAGACGGGGTGACAGATAGAAAGAGGCTGAGGGGGTGTAACAGATAGAAAGGGGCTGAGAGAGGGGGTGACAGATAGAAAGAGGCTGAGAGAGGGGGGTGACAGATAGAAAGGCTGAGGGGGGGTGACAGATAGGAAGGGGCTGAGAGAGGGGGGTGACAAATAGAAAGCGGCTGAGAGAGTGGGGTGACAAATAGAAAAGCTGAGAGAGGGGGGTGACATATAGAAAGGCTGAGAGAGGGGGGTGACAGATAGAAAGGGGCTGAGAGAGGGGGGTGACAGAAAGAGGATGAGAGAAGGGGTGACAAATAGAAAGGGGCTGAGAGAGGGGGGTGACAGATAGAAAGGCTGAGAGAGGGGGGTGACAGATAGAAAGGCTGAGAGAGGGGGGTGACAGATAGAAAGGGGCTGAGAGAGGGGGGTGACAGATAGAAAGGCTGAGGGGGGGGTGAAAGATAGAAAGAGGCTGAGAGGGGAGGTGACAGATAGAAAGGGGCTGGGGGGGTGACAGATAGAAAGGGGCTGAGAGAGGGGGGGTGAAAGATTGAGAGAGGGGGGTGACAGATAGAAAGGGGCTGAGAGAGGGGGGTGACATATAGAAAGGGGCTGAAAGAGGGGGGTGACAGATAGAAAGGGGCTGAGGGGGGATGACAGATAGAAAGGGGCTGGGGGGGTGACAGATAGAAAGGCTGAGAGGGGGGGTGGGTGAAAGATTGAGAGAGGAGGGTGACGATAGAAAGGGGCTGAGAGTGGGGGGTGACATATAGAAAGGGGCTGAAAGAGTGGGGTGACAGATAGAAAGGGGCTGAGGTGGTGGTGACAGATATAAAAGGGGCTGAGAGAGGGGGGTGACAGATAGAAAGGGGCTGAGAGAGGGGGGGTGACAGATAGAAAGGGGCTGAGAGAGTGGGTGACAAATAGAAAGGGGCTGAAAGTGGTACTTTTCCTCTCTCCACCAGGGAATAGGGAATATGTAACTTACAGGAGGTTGGTGGCACCTTAATTGGGGAGGATTGGCTCATGGCTGGAGCGGAGTGAGTGGAATGGTATCAAACACATGGTTTCTATGTGTTTGATGCCATTCCATTGACTCCTTTCCAGGCATTATTATGAACCGTTCTCCCCTCACCAGCCTCCACTGATATAGTGTTAATTTTGTCTTTCTTTTCAAGTGATCTCTTCTCCTTGTTTTTTTCACTCTCATTTCTTCTCTTCTCCTCGTTTCTATCCTCTCCTCACCTCTCCTCTCTCTTCATATCTCTCACTTCATTCTCTCTCCATACCTCTCTCCTCTCCTCTCTCCCTCTCTCCTCCTCCTCTCTCCTCTCTCCTCTCTCCTCTCTCCTCTCTCCTCTCTCCCTCTCTCCTCTCTCACTCTCACCTCTCCTCTCTCCCTCTACCCTCTCCTCTCTCACCTCTCCTCTCTCCTCTCCTCTCCTCTCTCTCTCTCTCCTCTCCTCTCTCCCTCTCTCCTCTCCTCTCTCCTCTCCTCTCACCCTCTCACCTCTCCTCTCTCCCTCTCTCTTCTCCTCTCTCCCCTCTCCTCTCTCCTCTCTCCCTCTCCCCTCTCCTCTCCCCCTCTCCCTCTCCTCTCTCCCTCTCTCCCTCTCTCTCTCCTCTCTCCTCTCCTCCTCCTCTCCTCTCCTCTCTCCTCTCGTCTCCTCTCCTCTCCTCTCCTCTCCTCTCCTCTCCTCTCCTCTCCTCTCCTCTCCTCTCCTCTCCTCTCCTCTCCTCCTTCCTCTCCTCTCCTCTCCTCTCCTCTCCTCTCCTCTCCTCTCCTCTCCTCCTCCTCTCCTCTCCTCTCCTCTCTCCCCTCTCCTCTCCTCTCCCCTCTCTCCTCTCCCTCTCCTCTCTCCCTCCTCTTCTCTCCTCTCTCCCTCTCTCCTCTCACCTCTCCTCTCTCCCCTTCTCTCCTCTCTCCCTCTCTCCTCTCCTCTTTCCTCTCCTCCCTCTTCCTCTCCTCTCCCCCTCTCTCTCCTCTCCTCTCTCCGTCCTCTCTCTCCTCTCTCCTCTCCTCTCTCCTCTCCTCTCTCCTCTCCTCTCCTCTCTCCTCTCTCCCTCTCTCCTCTATTTTCTCTATCTCTCCAGGGTCAGCAGGGTGAGAGAGGGGCAGCAGGACCACCAGGTGTGAAGGGTGAAACGGTGAGTGACATTTCTCCTCATCAATACATGATAGATAAAGTTTAATTAGATGTATTTTTACTTTAATTTCTACATCTTTATGGTCTCTATTAGGGCCCTCCAGGAACTAATGGATACCCAGGTTCTATGGGACTACCTGGACTTCCTGTAAGACACAACAACTTGTTTCATCACGTTTACATGAATGAACATATTGGGAACATTTTGGCTGCTTTGCTGATTGGTTGAAAGATGGATGGATTGATGGATGGATAGATGGATGGATGGATTTTGACTGACTGATTGATTTATTGATTGATTGATTGACAGGGCCTGAAGGGCGAGCGGGGTACCCCAGGCGCTGCAGGAACAAAGGGAGAATCGGTAATCCATAACAAACACAGTTGTCATATATTGAACATTGATGTTTTTTCACCTCATTTGGATAGTCTAAGAAACATATGGCATTTTAACAGAATAGCTGTAGCAGTTAACATGTCATATAGTCAGTTGATAACTATGAATCTGTTGGGTACTATTTCATTACTACAGTGACTGTGATATAGTGAGTGTGAGACAGTGAGTGTGACATAGTGAGTGTGAGACAGTGAGTGTGAGACAGTGAGTGTGAGACAGTGAGTGTGAGTGTGAGACAGTGAGTGTGACATAGTGAGTGTGAGACAGTGAGTGTGAGACAGTTAGTCTGAGACAGTAACTGTGATATAGTGAGTGTGGACAGTGAGTGTGAGACAGTGAGTGTGAGACAGTGAGTGTGAGACAGAGAGTGTGGGACAGTGAGTGTGTGACAGTGAGTGTAAGACAGTGAGATTGAGACAGTGAGTGTTAGACAGTGAGTGTGATATAGTGAGTGTGAGACAGTGAGTGTGAGACAGTGAGTGTGAGACAGTGAGTGTGAGACAGAGAGTGTGGGACAGTGAGGTGGTAAAGCAGTGAGATTGAGACAGTGAGTGTTAGACAGTGAGTGTGATATAGTGAGTGTGAAACAGTGAGTGTGAGACAGTGAGTGTGAGACAGTGAGTGTGAGACAGAGAGTGTGGGACAGTGAGTGTGTGACAGTGAGTGTAAGACAGTGAGATTGAGACAGTGAGTGTTAGACAGTGAGTGTGGTATAGTGAGAGTGTGACAGTGAGTGTAAGACAGTGAGTATAAACAGTGAGTGTGAGACAGTGAGTGTAAGACAGTGAGTGTAAGATAGTGAGTGTGAGATAATGAGAGTGAGACAGTGAGTGTGAGATAGTGAGAGTGAGACAGTGAGTGTTAGATAGTGAGTGTGACATAGTGAGTGTGAGATAGTGAGTGTGAGATAGTGAGAGTGAGACAGTGAGTGTTAGATAGTGAGTGTGACATAGTGAGTGTGAGATAGTGAGTGTGAGACAGTGAGTGTGAGATAGTGAGTGTGAGATAGTGACTTATCCCCATTCTCTCTCCTACAGGGTCCACCAGGCAACCCAGGATACCAGGGACAGGCTGGAGTAGCGGTCTGTAACCTCATCCCCTCATCCCCTCATCTTTATCCCTTGTCCCTATAACCTATCATCCATAACCTCATCCCTACATCTTTATCCCTTGTCCCTATAACCTATCATCCATAACCTCATCCCTACATCTTTATCCCTTGTCCCTATAACCTATCATCCATAACCTCATCCCTACATCTTTATCCCTTGTCCCTATAACCTATCATCCATAACATCATCTATATCCTGCGTCTTTAGGACTAAAAAGCATAATCTTGTACTCTAGGGAATATTCTGGTTTGTGTTTCAAGGTTGTGGTTCAAGTCTTTGTTCATTTTAAAGTAATGCTCTCTGTTTGTCCACAGGGACCCAAAGGAGAGGCTGGACTGGCAGGTCCCATTGGACCAAAGGGAGATCAGGTATCAAACAATGAAATATGCATTCTAAATATACAGTACATTCCAAATGCTGTGTTCAAACACACACACACACACACACACACACACACACACACACACACACACACACACACAGACTGATGTATTCTCTCGCCATTTGTAGGGCTCCCAAGGGCAACCAGGCTTCCCAGGAACATCGGTAAGTGAAACAGTCATCTTTATGGCTCTCTTAGTTAAATATCTATTGGCATGTGATGTACCCCATCACTTACCTCTTGATACTAAATGTTAACTTTGTAGGGCCCCCCTGGTCCCCCTGGGAAACAAGGAAGAGAAGGATCACCTGGACCCAAGGCTGACAAGGTAGAGCAGCTTATCATAATAGTTTTTCCTATTTCTGTTTCTACTTAATAGTGAGGATAATGTTAATTTCTCTCTCTCTCTCTCTCTCTCTCTCTCTCTCTCTCTCTCTCTCTCTCTCTCTCTCTCTCTCTCTCTCTCTCTCTCTCTCTCTCTCTCTCTCTCTCTCTCTCTCTGTCTCTGTGTCTCACTCTCTCACTGTGTCTCTCTCCCTCTCTCTGTGTGTGTCTCTCTTTCTCTCTCTCTCTCTGTCTCTCTCTCTCTCTCTCTCTGTCTCTGTCTCTCTCTCTCTCTGTCACTGTGTCTCTCTCTCTCAGGGTAATGATGGAGCACAAGGTCCACAGGGCCCGTCTGGACCTCCAGGTTCTCCTGGGTCTCCTGGCTTGCAGGTGAGTGTGTCTGTGTGTCTGTTTGCATTATCACGAGATATATATATATTTTGCAATTTCATGGAATATGAGTTTTAAAGAATGCTCTCACCTCACTGCCTTCCTTCCTGTGTGTGTCCAAAGGGACCTCCTGGATTTGAGGGATTGGACGGTAAAGATGGGAAACCAGGGATGAGGGTAAGAGAAGATTCAGACATACTACATGGTACTGTAGATACTATTGTTAGTCTATGGAAGGAGTAAAGTAGGATTTCTTGAATTGACCCCCCCCCCCCCCCCCCCCCCCCCCCCCTCTCCATCTCTCTCTCTGGCTCTCTCAGGGAGAGCCAGGGCTTCCAGGGGCGGCAGGACACAAAGGAATGCCGGTAAGTGCCTTTTGACCTTTACATGACTTCACTTATGTGACATCACTGGCTTGTCATCAGTGTGTGAATCATCACATTCACCTTGAGCCCAAATGGAGCAGGTGAATTGTATCGGTCAAAACATCACCCACTGATGTCACCCAAGAGCTCACCTCACATACCATTATATGCACGTATGTCACAGAGCTTACTGTACGTGCCAATCAGCTGCCCATGTTTCCCTACAAAGAGTTCAAGGGCCATACCAGCACTCCTAGTCTGAGATGCTTTATGAAAATGGGCCCAGAATAATTGGGTTTTAACTGAGTTATTGACACAGCTGCTCTGCACAATGTTTACTGTTTGGTATGCTAAATATACCTTATTGTTTTCACACAGTTCAAAACAATGAAGAAAGGAAAGAGAGCTTATTGTGTCAATTACGCTACTTTCTGTCTATGTCAGTGTTTCTGTGTGTGGCCTTTGAGCGTTCAGGTGTTCAAATCAGTGTGAGATTTCAAAGTGATATGTTTTGAAAGCTGCGTGTTTTGAGATGTGATGTGTGTCATGTTTATGTTTGATCCCTCTGCTCTCAGGGTTTCAAAGGGAAGCATGGACATGTTGGCTTCCCTGGACAGAAGGTGAGTCAACCACACACGTGCGCACACACACACACAAATGCGCACGCGCGTACACACACACACACACACTACTCTCTTCAGTTTGTCTGTCAGATGCCTGCTACCATATAGAACACTGATACAGATTATGAGCACATTGTTATGGATATTGGATACTCACCGCTCTCCCTCCATCTTCCTCCTCTCTTCAGGGTGATGCTGGACCTGTTGGCCCACCAGGGCCAGCTGGTAGACCAGGACTTGAGGTAAGTCAAACCAAATGTTGCATGTACCTTCTCAATTCATGTTGTTTAATGTTTGAATGATGTTCATATGTAATGAATGAATGACAACCATTTCTAATGACAACACCAATTGAATGAAGGATTTTGTCACAATATGTGTCAAACTGAGAGCAACCTTTGACCATTTGCAGGGTGATGCTGGAACCCCAGGGCCTCAGGGTCGACCCGGTCCCCCAGGACACCTTGTGAGTACATTACCTTTAACCTCTCACGTACAGTCACCTACAGAATTATTGCGACCTTGATAAAGATGAGCAAAAAAAAAATGTACAAAATAAATAATACAAATAATGACCTCTATTGTATGCTCACAAAAAAGTTTGGTGTCAAAATTATTAGCACCCCTAAAGATTCTTATAAATAAAATAAAACAAAATAAACATCTGTGTTAACATTCTACTTTTGTAGCCATTTCCTGCAGTCAAATGACCAAATCGCCCTCTAGTGGCCTCATGTGTGGAATGTTATTAATATTCTTCCTAATTTCCTAATTAATAAACATTATTTTAACAAAAACGCAGAAAATTCGGTGTTTCTCTGCCAAACAGTTTTGTTATATTTCAGTCGTCTGTAATGTATATAAAGTGTAATATTGGGATGCAAACTCAAACTTTAAGACATTTCAACTCTAAATCTGACATGGTACAGGTTTCTTCTTTTTTTAAGCACATAACCATGTGTGTGAGGTGTATGCTTTTGTTTCAAAGTAGATTTGTAAGAATACCAAGGAACACTCTGTGTGACCCTGATTCAGCCCACTGCAGTAAAGTTAATCTCAGTTTAAGGAACTGTATTGTGGCCTAAGGAACTGTATTGTGGCCTTCCATGGCTTCCTGTTTCACTTGGGTATAAAAAAGAGGTAACACACATGTAAAAAACATGAGTCATCACCATGGGGAAAGGCAAAGAACTCAGAAAATGAAAAGAGATGAATGGTTATTGAATATTGACCTTCATAAATACAACAATGGGTACAAAAAAATGCTAATAAATAATAATATACAGTACCAGTGAAAAGTTTGGACACACCTACTCATTTAAGGATTTGTCTTTATTTTTACTATTTGCTACATTGTAGAATAATAGTGAAGACATCAAAACTATGAAATAACACATTAGGAATCATGTAGTAACCAAAAAAGTGTTAAACAAATCAACATATATTTTATATTTGAGATTCTTCAAATAGCCACCCTTTGCCTTGATGACAAGTTAATTTATGGAATTTCTTAGTGTGTTTGATCCAATCAGTTGTGTTGTGACAATGTAGGAGTGGTATACAGAAGATAACCCTATTTGGTAAAAGACCAAGTCCATATTATGGCAAGAACAGCTCAAATAAGCAAAGAGAAACGATTTTAAGACATGAAGGTCAGTCAATACAGAACATGTCATAAACTTTGAAAGTTTCTTCAAGTGCAGTCGCAAAAACCATCAAGCGCTATGATGAAACTGTCTCTCATGAGGAAGCCCACAGGAAAGGAAGACCCAGAGTTACCTCTGCTGCAGAGGATAAGTTCATTAGAATTAACTGCACCTCAGATTGCAGCCCAAATAAATGCTTCACAGAGTTAAAGTAACAGACACAACTCAACATCAACTGTTCAGAGGAGACTGCGTGAATCAGGCCTTCATGTTCGAATTGCTGCAAAGAAAGCACTACTAAACCACACCAATATGTGAGAGTGTGATTTGAAGGAGTCAGGCCAGGGGGGTAACTCACAGAATACAGAGTTTATTCCTGTAGTACACAGTTACGCTGGATAGCGTCAACAGTCCATTGCGCAAAACAGGCACACTGGAACAAATGCAGGCACACAGGGAAAATATACCCCGGCAATACAAAGTGCAGGTAGCTCCACCGAGCTACAATCATCTCACATGAAACAATCACCCACAAGGACAAAGGGGGCAGAGGGAACACTTATACATGGACTAATGAGGGGAATATGAACCAGGTGTGTGTAATTGACAAGTGGAATGATGAGATATGGAGCGGCAGTGGCTAGAAGGCCGGTGACGACGAACAACAAAGCCTGCCCGAACAAGGAGGGGAGGCAGCTTCGGATTGGAATGGCGTTAGGTTAGTGGAAGAGTGACGGAGGGATTTCTGGGCCTATTCGGCCACTCCCCCGGCCGGTCCTGGTAGTAGAACCGCAGGAACCTACCCACATCCTGATTTACACGTTCCACCTGCCCAATAGACTCGGGGTGGAAACCAGAGGTCAGGCTGACCGAGACCTCCAGACGTTCCATGAACGCCTTCCAGACCTTGGATGTGAACTGGGGACCTCGGTCAGACACTATATCCTCTGGTACCCCGTAGTGCTGGAAGACGTGTGTAAACAGGGCCTCCGCAGTTTGCAGGGCCGTGGGGAGACCGGGCAGAGGAAGGAGGCGGCAGGCCTTGGAAAAGCGATCCACAACGACCAGGATGGTGGTGTTACCTTGGGAGAGGGGAAGATCAGTCAGGAAATCAACACTCAGGTGAGACCATGGTCGTTGTGGAACTGGTAAAGGTTGAAGCTTACCCGTTGGGAGGTGCCTAGGTGCCTTACTCTGGGCGCACACCGAGCAGGAGGAGACATACACCCTCACGTCCTTAGCCAAGGTAGGCCACCAGTACCTTCCGGTCAGGCAGCGCACTGTACGACCGATACCTGGGTGACCAGAGGAGGGGGACGTGTGTGCCCAGTAGATCAGACCATCATGGATAAGAGCAGCCATGTACTGCAGCCCAGCTGGACACTGCGGTGGAGATGGCTCTGTGCGTAACGCCTGCTCTATATCTGCGTCCATCTCCCATACTACCGGCGCCACAATGCAGGAGGCCGGGAGTATGGGGGTGTTGTCTCTGGGCCTCTCCTCTGTGTCATACAGCCGTGACAATGCGTCTGCCTTCACGTTCTTCGTACCCGGGATGTATGATAGTGTGAAATCAAACCAGGTGAAGAATAGGGCCAACCTGGCCTGGCGAGGATTCAGCCTCCTCGCTGCCCGGATGTACTCCAGGTTACGGTGGTCCGTCCAGACGAGGAAAGGGTGTTTCGCCCCTTCGAACCAATGCCTCCATACGGTCAGGGCTCGGACAACAGCCAACAGCTCCCGATCACCAACGTCATAGTTCTGCTCCGCCGGGCTGAGCTTCTTAGAGAAGATGGCACAGGGGCGGAACTTGGGTGGCGTGCCCAAGTGTTGAGACAGGACAACGCCTATCCCTACCTCGGACGCATCCACCTCCGCTACGAACGGTAGTGATGGATCGGGGTGGGCCAGTACCGGGCTGAGGTGAATAGACCCCTCAGGTTACTGAAGGCCCTGTCAGTCTCAGCAGACCAGCGGAGCCGGGAACGGCCCACCCTTCAACATAGATGTAATGGGAGCTGCGGCCTTGCCAGAGCCCCGGATAAACGTCCGATAGCAGTTGGCGAAGCCAATAAAGCGCTGCACCTCCTTAACCGCGGTGGGAGTCGGTCAATTACGCACGGCTGAAATGCGATCTCCCTCCATCTCCACACCTGAGGTTGTAATGCGGTATCCGAGGAAGGAGACGGACTGCTGGAAAATGATTCCAAATTTGAGATTTTGGGTTCCAACCGCCGTGTCTTTGTGAGACGCAGAGTAGGTGAACGGATGATCTCTGCATGTATGGTTCCCACCGTGAAGCATGGAGGTATTATGGTGTGGGGGTGCTTTGCTGTTGACACTGTCAGTGATTTATTTAGAATTCAAGGCACACTTAACCAGCATAGCTACCACAGCATTCTGCAGCGATACGTCATCCCATCTGGTTTGGGCTTAGTGGGACTATAATTTGTTTATCAACAGGACAATGACCCAAAACACACCTCCAGGCTGTGTAAGGGCTATTTGACCAAGGAGAGTGACGGAGTGCTGCATCAGATGACCTGGCCTCCACAATCACCCAACCTCAACCCAATTGAGATGGTTTGGGATGAGTTGGACCGCAGAGTGAAGGAAAAGTGCTCAGCATATGTGGGAACTCCTTCAATACTGTTGGAAAAGCATTCCTCATGAAGCTGGTTGAGAGAATTCCAAGAGTGTGCAAAGCTGCCATCAAGGCAAAGGGTGGCTATTTGAAGAATCTCAAATATATTTTGATTTGTTAAAAAAAAAAAATGGTTACTACATGATTCCATATGTGTTATTTCATAGTTGTGATGTCTTCACTATTATTCTACAATGTAGAAAATAATTTTTAAAAAAATTAAAACACTTTTCACTGGTATTGTACCTCTTACCACTATTAAGAAGTTTAAAACCACTGGAACAGTGGTACACTTGTTGGAAAAGGACGCATGTGTATCTTGTCCCCACGCACATTGAGAACGATGGTTCAGGAGGCAAAGGAAAATCGAAGGGCCACAGTTGGAGAATTACAGAATTTGATCACATATTGGGGTCACCAAGTGTCCAAATCTACGATTAGACGCCACCTCCATGCAAATAGGCTCTTTGGAAGGGTTGCCAGAAAAAAGCCTTTATTGAGAGCAACCAACAAATGTAAACGCCTGGAGTTTTCTAAACGGCATTGGCACTTGGATTGGAACCGGATGCTATGATCAGATTAGGTGAAAATAGAGGTCTTTGGACAAGTAAGCCAGCGGTGGGTTTGGCGTCGAAAGAAGGATGCATTTGCAAAAAATAACCTCATAACTACTTTAAAATATGGTGGTGGATCTTTGATGTTATGCGGCTGTTTTGCTTCCATTGATCCTGCGGCCCTTTTTTAAGGTCAACGGCGTCATGATCTCTTCTAAGTACCAGGACATTTTAGCCCAAAACCTGGTTGCCTCTGCCATGATAATGAAAATTGGACGCAAGTGGATCTTCCAGCAATGACCCGAAGCGCACGTCAAAATCCACAAAGAAATTGTTATTTGGCCACCAAATCAACATTTTGCAATGGCCAACTCAGTCTCCACACTTTGTTTGAATTGAAGAGAGCAGTCCATATGCGCAGCCCAAAGGATATTAAGGATCTAGAAATATGGAGGAAGGTTCTAAGATCCTTCCCAATGTCTTCTCTAATCTCATTAAACATGATAGAAAAAGGCTCCGTGCTGTTATCCTACCAAGGGGAGGGTACACAATGTATTGAAAACAGGGGTGCCAATAATTTTGACCAATTGTATTGGTATAAAAAATATATAATTGTCCTTTTTTTTTTGCATTCAATATTTATTTTATGGTCTTTTTTGCTCATCTTAATCAAGGGTGCCAATCATTTAGGAGGTGACTGTATATGACTCTTGGTTTGTGTTGTTGTATTCAGTGTGTTTGTTAAGAAGGTTTGTATGGGTATATGTAGCTAACAGCTGTATGTTTTATTGGTAGGGCACTGCAGGAGCAGCAGGACCCCCAGGACCAGCAGGCCCAGCTGGAGTGGTGAGAGGAAATATTATCATCATCAACACGTCTATTTTATTCGAATGTAGAAGGAACACATATCAACTGGTTTATTTGCAGTGTTAGCGTTGTGTTCTGTCAGTGTTATTTCTCAGGTAAGGTTACTCATCACACTGTCTCTCTGTTGTTTCTCTCTCTCTCTTCTCTCTCTCTCTCTCTCTCCTCTCTGTTGTTCCTCTCTCTCTCTCCTCTCTCTCTCTCTGTTGTTCCTCTCTCTCTCCTCTCTGTCTCGCACTCTATCTCCTTGCTCTCTTCTCTCTCTCTCTTTCTCTCTCTCTCCTCTCTCTCTCTTTCTCTCTCTCTCTCCTCTCTCTCTCTTCTCTCAATTCAATTCAATTCCAGGGGCTTTATTGGCATGGGAAACATATGTTTACATTGCCAAAGCAAGTGAAATGGATAAACAAAAGTGAAATAAACAATAAAAAGTGAACAGTAAATATTACACTCACACAAGTTCAAGAAGAATAAAGACATTTCCAATGTCATATTATGTCTATATACAGTGTTGTAACGATGTGCAAATAGTTAATGTAAAAAAAGGGAAAATAAATCAACATAAATATGGGTTGTATTTACAGTGGTGTTTGTTCTTCACTGGTTGCCCTTTTCTTGTGGCAACAGGTCACAAATATTGTTGCTTTGATTGCACACTGTGGTATTTTCAAAATTGGATTTGTTTTCAAATTCTCTCTCTCTCTCTCTCTCTCTCTCTCTCTCTCTCTGTCTCTCTCTTCCCAAACCCCCCCCCCCCCCCCCCCCCCCCCCCCCCCCCCCACCCCCCCCCCCCCTCTCTCTCTCTAGGGTATACAGGGTGAGAAAGGCCAGGCAGGAGACAGAGGGCTACCAGGGATGGTTGGACCAGCCGGACCCCCCGGCCATCCAGGAATGCAGGTCAGTACACACACTCCTATTGTTTCAACACATACAGATATAGAACAGGATAGATGTGCATGTCATGGGGATGTCTTGAAAATAAATCTTCTCTCTATTTCCCTCTTCTCTCTCCCTGCTTCTATCTCTCAGGGAGAACCAGGCAGTGATGGACACGGGGTGTGGGTAAAGTAAAGAACGTGAGGAATTAGTATGATGTGGTTGTTTGTAATCATTACAAAACATGATTCCAGTAATCGGAAAGTACATGTAGATGACTGTGTTGTGAGTTATACAGCTCGTATACCCTGATCTTCTAATCATGAATTAAAGGGGGAAAATGGTATGAAAGGAGAAAATGGAAAAATGTGGGAAAGGTACAAGTAAGAGTAAATGCTGGTGTGTGTGTGGTGTTGTGTGTGTGGTGTTGGGTGGCGTGTGTGTGTGTGTAGTGTGTGTGTTGTGTGTGTGTGCTGATGTCGGTGTGTGTGTGTGTGTGTGTGTGTGTGTGTGTGTGTGTGTGTGTGTGTGTGTGTGTGAGGGATACTATAATAAATCTGCAAAAACACTATAGTAAAAACAACAGTATACTACAGTATGCAAAATTGCTGCAGTTTTTTAAACTATAGTAATACTACAGTATTTATACCGTAGTAAAGTATAGTATGTATTCATGTGGGTTGGTTACCTCAAATATGGCCTCCACTACCAAAAAGGATTATGGGTAAGGTAGTCCAGGGGCTGATGGCTGTAGTCCTGGCCAGAATTCTGTTCTGAACATTCTCCTTAGTTCTGGCTTATTCAGCAGAGTCCCTAAACCCAGACATCAGACATCAGTTCTGTCCCAAATGGCACCCATTCCTTATATAGTGCACTACTGAAGTCCTCTACACTAGATACAGTACAGTAACTGAAGTCCTCTACACTAGATACAGTACAGTAACTGAATAGGGTGCCATTTGGGATGCACCCATCATTCGATGAAGCTCCTTTTGGCATGATCCTCCACATTCACCTCAAATACCCTACTTTCCCTGGCAATACCTCATATTACTAACTTAGCCCTCCAGTCCCTCTACACTGAAGTCCTCTGCACTAGATACAGTACAGTAACTGAAGTCCTCTACACTAGATACAGTACACTAACTGAAGTCCTCTACACTAGATACAGTACAGTAACTGGAAGTCCTCTATCCTATACGTACAGTGACTGAAGTCCTCTACACTAGATACAGTACAGTAACTGAAGTCCTCTACACTAGATACAGTACAGTAACTGAAGTCCTCTGCACTAGATACAGTACACTAACTGAAGTCCTCTACACTAGATACAGTACAGTAACTGAAGTCCTCTACACTAGATACAGTACAGTAACTGAAGTCCTCATACACTAGATACAGTACAGTAACTGGAAGGTCCTCTACACTAGACACAGTACACTAACTGAAGTTCCTCATCCACTAGAATACAGTATACAGTAACTGAAGGGCCTCCTACACTAGATACAGTCACAGTAACTGAAGTCTCATCTACCACGAGATACAGTACAGCTAACTGAAGTCCTCTACACTAGATACAGTACACTAACTGAAGTCCTCTACACTAGATACAGTACAGTAACTGAAGTCCTCTACACTAGATACAGTACACTAACTGAAGTCCTCTACACTAGATACAGTACAGTAACTGAAGTCCTCTACACTAGATACAGTACACTAACTGAAGTCCTCTACACTAGACACAGTACAGTAACTGAAGTCCTCTACACTAGATACAGTACAGTAACTGAAGTCCTCTACACTAGATACAGTACAGTAACTGAAGTCCTCTACACTAGATACAGTACACTAACTGAAGTCCTCTACACTAGACACAGTACAGTAACTGAAGTCCTCTACACTAGATACAGTACACTAACTGACGTCCTCTACACTAGATACAGTACAGTAACTGAAGTCCTCTACACTATATACAGTACAGTAACCAATATAGTTATTCTCTGTCCCCTGGATAATGTTATTTTACTGTGGGAGCGGAGACATGAGATGAGGTGATTTGTCATTGTGACAGGAAGGCATTGTCATGGTTTTTAACTATAGTAGTACAGATTACAGAGAAGCTCTCATCTCTTTTCTTCTTCTTCTTCTTCTTCTTCTTCTTCTTCTTCTTCTTCTTCTTCTTCTTCTTCTTCTTCTTCTTCTTCTTCTTCTTCTTCTTCTTCTTCTTCTTCTTCTTCTTCTTCTTCTTCTTCTTCCTCTTCTTCCTCTTCTTCCTCTTCCTCTTCCTCCTCTTCTCCTCTTCCTCTTCCTCTTCCTCTTCCTCTTCCTCTTCCTCTTCTTCTTCATAATGGCCAGCTTTGTTCCACATAAATCACAGATGTCTGTCTGAGGCTGTTGTTTACAGGGTGTGCGTGCTAGGCTACGTACATGGGAAGCCGTGAGTCCCACATGGCACCCTAATTCCGTATGGGTCCCGGTCAAAAGTAGTGCACTATATCTCGAATAGGGTGCCATTTGGGATGAGTTCCTGTGTCTGTGTTTTTATTGTGGAGGAGGTAAGTGAGTAATACGCTGGAGGCTGGGTAGGGCCCGGTTACAATCTAAAGTGGACACTGCCCCCTTGTTGACTTGACTCTCCTTCAAGGGTCTGACAGGAATAGGTTGGTGGAAACAGTTCAATAGCAGTTGGATGGTTGAAAATACATAAGTGCCATTGTGCAGGAGTTCATTCATCTTTTCAATCTTCAATATAAAACGCTGTTGTCGGTGGTCGAACAGTACTCTTCAGTGGTTGGATGTCTGACTAACACACTAGCTCTCACCCCTCTTCTCTCTTCTTCTCTCCTCTTTTCTGACTCTTTCCCGCTCTCTCTCGCTCAGGGTGAGCCAGGTGTCCCAGGTCAGAGGGGCACCCCAGGGGAGCGAGGTCGCCCTGGACCCCCTGGCATAGGGGGGTATTCCTCCAAGGCTGATACCCCAGTGATGGGCCCAGTGGGACCCAGGGGAGAGAGGGGGACCCCTGGCCCACCAGGCACTGCAGGGTCCCCTGGACCTCCAGGAACACCAGGCAACGAGGTGAGACCTTAGCTACTGGGGTGAATTGCATCGATTATGAATTGATCACTTGTTATGTTCGTGTTTGTTTCACAATGTCTAATGAAACACTAAACCAACATTTTGGTCAAAAGACTAAAACCCAAAAGTGGTGGTTAGGTCTTCTCTTATGTCCCTCACGCTCTCTCTCTAATCCACAGCCTGTGGTCAACTATGACAACATCAAGGACTTCATTCGCCAGCAGGTCATCAAGATATTTGATGGTGAGAATGTGGTCTTCTTTTCGTTTAGGTTTATCACCCATACTTTGCAAAGATCTGGCCGTATTTCCTAATTGAGCAGTGGGAGAGAATGTAAATAGCTTTATTGATTATTAGGTGGTTTATCAACTGGAGTTGTACTGTATCCCTCAACAGAGAGGATGGCCTACTTCATGTCTCGTATGCAGCAGCCACAAGAGGTATCGTCCCCCGGTCGTCCTGGCCCCCCAGGGAAGGATGGTAACCCAGGTAGAGATGGGACTCCAGGGGCCCCAGGTCAGCCAGGACAGATAGGCAGAGAGGGCCGCCAAGGAGTCCTGGGACCACAGGGTGAGTCTAGACTTCACTTGATTCCTTTTGTCGTAAGGCCTGAATACCCTGAATACCACGGTCATGATAAATACGTAGGAGTTCATAAACAGTTATGACAAGTGATGTCAGTTTAGCGTAACATAAAGGTTAGCTACTCTCTCAAGTGATGTCCTCTGTCATGTCTGCAGGTCCACAAGGTCTGAAGGGAGAGAAAGGTGACAAGGGTGTAGGAGAGATGGGTGACAGTGGACCCCCAGGAGCACCAGGTAAGACGCCACATCAGCCTGTCTAAATGTTTAACTCTCCACTATCCTGCCAAAGCTTCAATAAGTTAGATCTTTCAACTGCTCTGCTCTTTTATAATCACTGTGCATCCAGTGCTTCAATGATGCCCTCTGTCCCTTCCTCCCCATGCCCCAGGTGTCCCAGGCCCCCCAGGCTATGGCAAGATGGGCCCCAGTGGCCCCGTGGGTCAGCAGGGGGTCCCTGGAGTCTCAGGAACCCCTGGACAGCCGGGCCAGAAGGGCAGGGAGGGCCGGTGTAACCCCTCTGACTGTATGAGCCAACCAATAGAGTGGAACCCTAAGGGCCCTCCCGTCAAGGGCCCCTACTAGAGAGAGAATATTAAAGATGAGAGGAGGAAAGGAGACACAGAGAGATGAGAGAGATGGAGAGATAGAATAAAGCAACCCAAAGACCAGAAGGCACTAGAGACAGAAGTGGAGGGGTGAAGAGAGAGAGAAGAGAAAACAGAAAACAGAAGACCAGCAGCTACCGTCCAATCAAAAGAAATCATCCCAAGAAAACAAATGAATACTGAAGCACCCATAGTTGATGTGGTCCTCTTCATCCATCCCTAATTCATCAAAGTGTTTGCCAGTTAGCTGTCCAACTCACCGCCTGTGTAGAAAATATATACAGATATCGGATCTTAATTTGAGCCAGTTTGCTAAAGCATGAAAACAATCCTGCAGAAACAGGAAATGTTAATTATTATGTGGATTATGATTAATGGATGTTTTTGTAGTGGTTGATACATTTTTGTAAGGGGAAATCAAGTATGACATTTCAAAGTGGAAATTACAAATGTTAGAAGCCTTTTTAAACATCAAATACACTACACATTTAAAATGTCCTTCATTGTAGGAAAGTTAATCCTGCAACAGGGTGATCAAATTAAGATTCTACATCTGTATGTGTAGAACCTTCTAACTGAAGACTTAGTACTGGCTGAAGTGGCTTTGTTAAAGGAGATAATGTGGACACTGTGCAATCCTGCCTCTCTACTCTCTGTCATATCTGTTCATTCCTTCAAATTTTCCCAACTTTAGCTATCAGTTCATTCTATAAATTAAATATGTTTAGTTTGATAATACCAGCAAGAGCAAATTTAGCCTTGGAAAAACTACCTGCAAACTCTTCCTCATCATCACTATAATCCTCATCTTCATTCTGATTGTAAAATGTGCCCGTTGGGAGTATTAGACAGCTGCTTTGTGCTGTTCTGCTTTGACCTTGCCTCTCTCTAGCAATAGAAACAGAATGAATAGAACTGACATGGCACTCCCATTCCAACTTCCCTTTATTATTTATGCATGCTGTGTTGTTTATGTTATTTCTATGCTTGAATATACACCTTCATCACTTGAGTGATGTCTGATGCTTTAACAGATCTATACGCTATACCCTCAAATAATGGCCTTATGAGAAGGTGTCACCTTCTCTTCCCTGACTGTGTGAGAAGAACATCATGTCCAGGTCCCCAGAGTGCCTGTTTTGTACATATTTCTATTTATATATAATGGCTTTTTATACCTTTTGTATTTTGGAATTGGCGTCAGCATGGCTTGCCGTGTGTTTGTTATGGTCAACTGTTATATATGCACTACCAGTGTGTTTTTTATAAGATTTTAAAGGGAGTCATTTGTTCTGTAAAACAAATTATGAGGGAATTGTGCCTTTTGTGTAAAAGCAGATTGGATTTATATATGGTGGTATTATTATGCTTTGGAAGGTATTTTCATGTGTGCCTTATAAAGTACACGACATCATGTTCAACTGTAGCATTTTCAAAACTGGCTCAAAAATCACTTTTCTTGTTGTGTAGCAATTTATTAACAAGTCTCTTACCACATCACCAAGCTTGTTTTTCACAACAGATAAACTTGAAAGGGATCATTTGCTCCTCGAGTACACCACTGGTACAGTAGCTGAAATAGGGTTGCAAAAATTCAGGTCACTTTCCCCAAATTCCTAGGATTTTCTGAAATCCTGGTAATTTTGGGATCTTAGGCGGAAATATATGCTTTATGACCACTAAGAGTTTTCAATGTCATTATCAAACATAAGAGAAAAAGGTTTAATATCCATCTTCACTCAAATCGCTGGCATAACTGTGCCAACTAGCTTCACTGTGCCAACTGCTAGCTGTGTAATGGACATCACCAGGTTTAGAAACATATAGGTGTTCTGAGTTGTTATTGGAGTTTTTTCCTGAACATGTGACCTGTCCAGAGTATTTCCTGGTCAGGAATAACTACTGACCCTAGGTATGCTAAACACCCTGACAATAACTAGCCTTTAGAAACATCTTGTTGAAACAACAGCACTTTTTCCCTGCTATCCTCAGTAGATCTGATTGTTTCTATGTTACAGGTACTTTTTATTAAGCCATCCTGTGTAAAGAGATGGTATTTTTTTTAATGGAAACTTTTCTGAAAAAGCTAATACATTTAGCAAAGCAGACATGTTGTTGATCAACAGATCAGAGACATCCAAGTATATAATGTGACTAGTTCACTGTGTTTTTTTTCCCATACCATCAATGTGCACAATGTATTTTATTGGAATGCCTTTCCTTGGTTCTCTGAATGAAAGCGTACTAAGGACAAAACGTTAACTAGCACTCCAATTAAATTATTCTGTTTTTCAAGTAAGCAGATTGCTAGAGCTGTTTTTGTATAAACTCCAAGCCACCTGCAAGAGACTATTATGTGAATGAGTCCAAGTAGAATACCTTTCAAGTGGAAGGCTTTTACAAAAGCTTCACTTCCGCAGCTTTGAGATTGTATTACTCACAGAAGGATAGAGCGTATACCATAATACCTACCACTGGGATAATGTAGTGTATGTCATCATCCTCTAGTCTAGGCAGACTACATGCAGCACCAACATAACTTACCAGCACTGACTGGACTGAAGTGTGGTACAGAGACAGAGAAAGTCTAGACTCTACCCATTAACCCGTCTCTAAACCCACTGGAATAATGACCATGTTATTTTAATACAATCATTTTTTCTATTCAGAGATCTGACGGTTCCCACATGGTAGGGAAGAACATTCAGGTTTTATAAAACTTTCCTCTTTATTGTTTTGGAATTGGTTGACCTGAACAACCAAGAAAAAAAGAAATTAAACGTCTTTACAGATGAATCATATAAAGAACAATAAATAGATTGTTTCTGTTAATGAAAATAATCAGTCCTGGTTGTTGTTAGAATGCTGACATTGATTGACTCCATGGAAGTTAGTTGACAGTGGCATAGAAAGATTGATTACTGTAACTGATCTGTTTGGAAAAGCAGTCATTTGAACTTTTAAATTTGATTGCTGATTAGGTTAATTAACACATGGGTTGTTTTGGTTGGTTCATATTCTAACCCATCCTCTTTTTTCTCTACATAAAATCAACAAACATTTACAAAGATTTACAGCACTGAATTATGGGAAATAGATGGGATTGCCCATCAGGATATGCTGTTGCCAGGCAACTAGAGGAAGAGATCAAGGCTAAATAAATAATTTGTTTCTAAAATTAGGCAAAGGTAGAAAGGGGTGGCAATGTACATGTGAGGTAAAAAAAAGGGGTTTCACTCAAGCATACAGGTCGAGGGGTTTAGCAATACATCTTACAAAGGTACGGTATGGAGTGTGGAATTTGATCTTTTATTTGTACTTGTGTGTACACTTGTAAGCCACTTGTTGTTTGGTGGGGGGTGGAGGGGGTCATATGCTTGCCTTTTCTGCTTCAAAACATATTTCAATATTAATATTTCAGGTATAAAACAACAGCATTTAAAGTGACCACGGTATATAAGAAAAAAGCACCAATCATCAGACACAAAGTCTATCTCTAGTCCTCCCAGTCCAGGGGCTATGGCTGCTGATAACGTCACTGGATATGATTCTGATGTCAATACGTCTCTCTCATGGTGCGTTCAAGACAACTGGGAACTTGAAAAAATACGAGGTGAAATCATGACGTCAGTGACCTTCAGGTCGGAAAGTCGGAGCTCTAGAAAGAGTCAGAGTTCCCGAGTTGGAATTCCGAGTTGGATGACCGTTCAAAGCGATTTTTCCCAGTCTGAGCTAGTTTTTTTCTGAGTTCCCAGATGTCTTGAATGCACTGAAGTCGGAAGGTGGAGATTTTAGAGTTCAGAGCGCCCAGTTTTTTTGAAACTCTGCATCATTCTCTTTCCCTCTGTGGTGGGGGGTGGGGCAGTTGGACGTGACTGACATTGACATCAGCCAATCCCTGACCAGAGATTGTAAATTCAGAGGGGTGTTATTGGCTGTGAGTGGCTATTGTCATGGTGATTTAAAGTAGGTGGGCATGGTGTATGTTGCAAACTGTCTCCAAACAGTAAAACTGAAGGTCGTCAGTTTAGGGGTCAGAGGGGCCAACGTCAGTCACGATAGTATCGCCCCCACTCCTCGCTCTCGTTGGTATCCAATAAAGAAGAGTTCTCTCTCTCTCTCTCTCTCTCTCTCTCTCTCTCTCTCTCTCTCTCTCTCTCTCTCTCTCTCTCTCTCTCTCTCTCTCTCTCTCTCTCTCCTCTATCCCTGCTTCTCTCTCTTCTGTCTCTCTCTTTATCCCTGGTGTTGTGGGGCTTTTTATGGAGAGCTGAGGTTAGACTCCGGGGCCCTTGACCCTGGCGGAGTCCTGTAGTCTGGGGGAGGTGTAGGCTGAGGCAGCTAGGCAGGCTGCAGCCTCACAGAACCCTGGAAGACCAGTGGGGCCCGCCTTACCAGGACGACCGGCCTCTCCTGCCGAGCCCTGGGTGCCTCGCTCACCAGGCTTACCATTTCGAGCCATGCCGTCAATACCAGGGGGACCTGAGGAGGAAGAGTTTTGAAAGTGAGATGGTTTTAGTTTGACCCCATAACTTCCTGAGGTAAGTTGATACACCTTTTACGATAAACTAAAACATACATAGACAAAAACAATAGACAATTTAACATTTACACACATTTCCATAAACATTAATGACATCACACATGCTCAGACCCAGATGTTCCCACCGTATCCACACCCAATGTTGTTTCTAATGCTTGTAAGACGCTGCCCCATATGACTTAAAATTGTTTTAAGTTGTTTCTGTCTGTAGCCAGATTTTTTTTCAATATTTAAATAAGCATGCCATGTCTTGAAATATGCAGATAGACATATTAAAATTAAACTTACATTGTAAAATTTCTGACAGCCAGTGCAGCTTTCTAACTCTGCCCAGAACTTTTGGACTTTATAGCACTCCCAGAAGGCATGAATTATTGAGTCATCGTTAGCTTTACACTAAAGACATGACTATGCCATTGTAATGTAGAATTAGTTAATTTTGTCTTTTGTATAATACATTCTATACATTAGTTTATACTGGATTAAGAGTACATTTTCGTTAACTGTAATTGTGTTTGTTATGTTCCAACACTCCCTCCATCTTGTGCCAATATCCTTTCTTTTATAGTATTGGTTCCAATAGTTTATATTTTTTTTCTAAGAGGTTGTCAGTTGAATAGGCTCTCGGCAAGGTTTGGTATATCTTACCTATCATATGAGTAACTGTTTCTGACTCAAATAGGATTTCCTCAACATTGCTCTGATGTCCAAAAGCTTTCAGGTCGAAATGTGATATAAAACTTTTAAGTTGCATATACAGTATTTGAAAATGTCTACATTAATTGTATTTCCAATTACCACATTTACAGTTTCTATGCCTTTGGTTTTCCACGTGGGCCAATTTATTGGTGAATTCTGAAAAGTATTGTTCCATAGGGGTGTGTTTTTAGGGAGAAATATTGGTTCTTGTAGAATTCGTTGAATTTTCTTTTATGTTGTTATGATGTTCTTAACTATGAAGTTGTTAATGTTCTTACCACCATCCTTTGAAAACAGACACGTGAAAAGATTCTGGGGATGAGCATGCGCATATTCAATATGTACCCATCGTTCCACTTTAGCGCATTTAACAATGTGTCGCAAGTAAAAGCCTTGATACAATTCCAAATGTTTATATTTCCTGTTGCCATTATTTCCGTTTTTTCCACTTTAGTTTTATATCCTGAGATTTTAGAGTATTCCAAAAATAATTTTAACAAGGGTGGCATTGAGTTTTCAATATTAGTCAAGTATATCAGGAGATCATCGTCAAATAAGTTTAGTTTATATTAATGTTTACCAATACTGATACTTGTTACGTTTGGGTCCTGTCTAATTCTTTCTGCAAGCGGTTCAATTGCCAGTGCAAACAGGAGGGGGGAGAGAGGACATCCCTGTCTCGTGTCCCTTTCTAAAGCAATTTCATCAGATAATGTATTATTTGTGTATATTTTTGATTCATGACATTTATATAATGTTGTTATGAAATGTATTATTTCTGCTGGAAAGTTGAATGCTTCCAAATGTCTAAATAGAAAAGGCCACTCAAGATGGTTGAAAGCTTTTTCGGCATCAACAGCCATTATTGATCTACATCTTGTTTCTTTGCATATTGTATTATTCTGAAACATGTTCTTGTGCTTGTTTGTGTCTATTTTTAATAAATCCTGTTTGATCAAATGTATGGGTCTGTAATCTGCCGGGGACTCTCCAGATTTTCCTGGTTTTAATATAACTGAAACAGCTGTTTGATACATGGAACTCGGAAGCCCTGAATTGAGTGACGTGTGTTGTCATTTGAGTTAATAGGGACGCAACCTTGTCCAGAATATAAAATAAAATTCAATGGGAAAGCCGTCCATCCCTGATGCTTTTCACTGTGCAAATGTTTTAACAGTGTCTAATATTTATTTTGGGGTGATTTCCATTTTTTGTGATTATTTTTTATCTGCTGAAAGTTGCTTCAGGGTTATTGCGTCTAAAACGGCTGTAGGATCAGTCCAACTGTTATTTAATTCTGATTTATATAGATTTTCATAGAATCTTTTAAAATTGTGATTAATATTGTTGTTGTTTCTAATTAAAGCATTTGTATCCTTATCTTTTAAAATGATAACTGGTTTGGTGTGTATTCGTTTTATGAGGTCTGCAAGGTGTTTACCAGGTTTATTTGCCATGAAATAGTATGCTTTATTTGAGTTTAACCTGTAGTTGGTGGCTCGCTTCAAAAGTAAAAGGTCATATTCCTGCTTATGTTAAAAAATGTAATGTTCTTCTTTACCCTGTAAATATTTTTTTATGGGCTTTTTCTAAGATAGTGATTTACTATTCTTAAATTGTAATTTCTAACTCAGATTTAACTTTAGCAGAGTATGAGGTAATGATTCCCCTAATGTACGCCTTAAAAGCATCCCAAATTATGTCAGGGGTCGGCTTTTCTCTGTGCTGTATGTCTACATTTGTAATGTATTTTAGAAATTTCGGGTCGTGAAGATGTGCTCTGTTCATTCTCCATATTATGTCACTATAAGTGTATTATCTGTTGGTGTAATTAAGCATGATACAGAATAATTATCTGATATCACTATGTCATGGATTTTAGAACCCAGTGTGGAGATGTACAGATCAGGGTTGGTTTATAAAAAAAACAGATCAGGGTTGGTTTATAAAAAAATATCAGAAACTTTGAACATCCCACGGAGCAACATTAAATCCATTATTAAAAAATTGAAAGAATATGGCACCACAACAAACCTGCCAAGAGAGGGCCGCCCACCAAAACTCACAGACCAGGCAAGGAGGGCATTAATCAGAGAGGCAACAAAGAGACCAAAGATAACCCTGAAGGAGCTGCAAAGCTCCACAGCAGAGATTGAGTATTTGTCCATAGGACCACTTTAAGCAGTACACTCCACAGAGCTGGGCTTTACAGAAGAGTGGCCAGAAAAAAGCCATTGCTTAAAGAAAAAAATAAGCAAACACGTTTGGTGTTCGCCAAAAGCCATGTGGGAGACTCCCCAAACATATGGAAGAAGGTACTCTGGTCAGATGAGACTAAAATTGAGCTTTTTGGCCCTCAAGGAAAACGCAATGTCTGGCGCAAACCCAACACCTTTCATCACCCCGAGAACACCATCCCCACAGTGAAGCATGGTGGTGGCAGCATCATGCTGTGGGGATGTTTTTCCATCGGCAAGGACTGGGAAACTGGTCAGAATTGAAGGAATGTGGATGGCACTAAATATAGGGAAATTCTTAAGGGAAACCTGTTTCAGTCTTCCAGAGATTTGAGACTGGGACGGAGGTTCACCTTCCAGCAGGACAATGACCCTAAGCATACTGCTAAAGCAACACTCGAGTGGTTCCTCCCGAGTGGCGCAGTGGTCTACCTGTGCCACTAGAGATCCTGGTTCGAATCCAGGCTCTGTCGTAGCCGGCCGCGACCGGGAGACCCATGGGGTGGCGCACAATTGGCCCAGCGTCGTCCAGGGTAGGGGAGGGAATGGCCGGCAGGGATGTAGCTCAGTTGGTGGAGCATGGCGTTTGCAATGCCAGGGTTGTGGGTTCGATTCCCACGGGGGGCCAGTATGAAAAAAATAATAATAATGTATGCATTCACTAACTGTAAGTCGCTCTGGATAAGAGCGTCTGCTAAATGACTAAAATGTAAAATGTTTAAGGGGAAACATTTAAATGTCTTTGAATGGCCTAGTCAAAGCCCAGACCTCAATCCAATTGATAATCTGCAGTATGACTTAAAGATTGCTGTACACCAGCGGAACCCATCCAACTTGAAGGAGCTTGAGCAGTTTTGCCTTGAAGAATGGGCAAAAATCCCAGTGGCTAGATGTGCCAAGCTTATAGAGACCCCAAGAGACTTGCAGCTGTAATTACTGCAAAAGGTGACTGTACAAAGTATTGACTTTAAGGGTGGGGTGAATAGTTATGCACGCTCAAGTTCTGTTTTTTTGTTTCACAATAAAACATATTTTGCATCTTCAAAGTGGTAGGCATGTTGTGTAAATCAAATGAAACAAACCCCCGAAAAAGAAATTTAAATTCCAGGTTGTAAGGCAACAAAATAGGAAAACTGCCAAGAGGGATGAATACTTTCGCAAGCCACTATAGGTCACATGCTAATATCTGTCTGGGTTTGATCTAATATAGCTTCAATTCTATCTAAAAACACCAGGTTTGCCCCTGGAGGGATATACAATTAAATTAATGTGCATTTTTCCCCATTTAAGAAACAATTCAAAATTAGAAAACGTCCTTCTTGGTCCGTTTGCTGGGATGCCTACACTTCTGCTGTTACTACAGTAGGTGCCAGGATAGACATCTCCAACCCAGCTTCTCTTTAAATATTACATTTCTCCTTTTATGAAGTGTAGCGCTTGCAGGAAAACCTGCTGACAATCTCTTTAAATGTTCAAGAACCTTGTGCTTTTTTTGCCATCATTAAGCCTGTGCACATTCCATGCAATAAGTTGGATTTTGTTGGCCTTTACTTGTTTAGAATCAAAGTTAACCTTGTCTGTTCCATCTGTCATTTATGAACCAGTTAAAACATTTAAGCAGACATGTCATATGAGGGCGGTGGATATCCCATGGATATGGAACAGTTATTGACAGACATGCTATACTTCCCACTTTGTATTGTCTTTTCAGTGTCCATGTAGCCCATTGGCATCGGCTACTTCTATCGTTACTTCATAGAGAAGAACAGTTACTTGGGGAAAGTAGAATATAGATTATATTAGGGGGAAAGAATAGTGTCTCAATTTACGATAAGCTGGTCTTAGGCATCACTGATTATCGCTTTTTCCTGCTTTGCAGGAGGGTCTCCTCCTTCGACTGGAAAGGTTTCTTGCAGCTTGTTTAGGGCTGCACTGATTAATTCCATCCTTTGAGTTTCCTTCCATACCTAAAGCATTGCCAGGAAGCGGAGCTGAGATTTGATTCCTTTTTCCTCCATTGAATGTCTGATTGGAATGTACATGTATTCCTTGCATTTTTTTCTCAGCCTAGCAGACAGGTCCTGGACGAATTGAATGGACTGTCCATGGATTTTGATCTCCTTTCCCCCCTGTGCCTTCAGAATGTTGACTTTGGTGTGATAGTTCCACAGCTGGAGGATTACCATGCGAGGGTATTTAGAGGTCTTCTGTTTCATGCCGATCCTATGGCATCCACGCCAAGATCCTCTAATATCAGGTTAACCACGTTGCTGGAATGGTCTCCTTCTTCCTCGTGTTCCGGTTAGGACAATATTCTCATGTTGTTTTGTCTCATTCTGTTTTTTTGCTGGTCCAATTAATCTTCTAGTTTGCAACTTTGTTTCCAAATGGCAAATTTTGTTGTCTTGTTCATTCATCCGCACACCTTGTATATGCATGTCTGACACAATAGCCTCTACTTCCTTTTCCAGCGTATCTACTTTTTTAACAACAGATTGTAACCGTTGCTCCTTGTCTTTTCCTCTGGGGGAAGCCATGGCTTGTTGGATTTGTGTCGCCGCGCCTCTTTACCAACTGATTAGTTCGCTGTTGTACATAATTGACCGCTTACTCTCTCACAGTTGCTGGGGATATATTGATTAATGCATTTTAGAGCCTTAATTTAAACTTTGTTGTCTGGTTTCTACATACTGTATAACTACAGTTTTGTCTGTACAAAATAGAGGTACTCACACCCCGTGCGTCCTATCGGTTAGAGCATGCGCCTCCTCCTGCACACCTTTATAACTACTGGATAGGTGTGTACAGGACGGTCACTGCTGAGTGTGTGTGTGTGTTAGGAGAGTGTGTGGTGCTCCTGGGGTCTCACCTGGTATTCCCGGGGGTCCTGGCTGGCCAGCATGTGGTTTACCAGGATCTCCTCTGTCTCCTTTCACTCCTCTCTTTCCTGAAAGAGAGAAAGATGGAGGGATGAAGAGAGGCCAGTGGTATTTTGTAATGATCTGTTACTCTTTGAGTGAGATCTGTTACTCTTTGAGTGATCAGCGTCTCTTTTTCTCCCCAATTTCATGGTTACGATCTTCTCTCATCGCTGCAACTCCCCAACAGGCTCGGGAGAGGCGAAGGTTGAGTCATGCGTCCTCCGAAACATGACCCACCAAACCACGCTTCTTAACCTCTGCTTGCTTAACCCGGAAGCCAGCCACACCAATGTGTCAGAGGAAACGTTGTTCAACTGATGACCAAAGTCAGCCTGCAGGCGCCCAGCCCACCACAAGGAGTCGCTAGAGCAAGTAAAGCTCCCCCCCCCTCCCCTAACCCGGACGAACCCCAGGCTATAGTGACGCCGCAACACTGCTGCGCCACTCGGGAGGCCTCAGCGTCTCTTTTTATCTGGAAAGTCACCAATTTCAGTTACTACCTTTCAGTCCGGTGTTGCCAATCTGTCCGGAGGCACCAAACATGCCGGGGATGCCACGGGCACCGGTGAGGCCGTGTGGGCCCTGAGCACCGGGAGCACCTGGGGGTCCGGGAGGACCAGGGGGACCCATGACACCAGCTCCACCCAGTACGGCACGCTTAGCGCTCACCGCTACAGCTGCCAGACGCTCTGGATGAGGAGGATAGAGGATGTATATTAGCTATAGCTACGTATGCAGTCGATGTGTTACCTGGATACAGTAGATTCAGTAGATTTGTAATGTTGGGACTTCTTACCTTGCAGCATCTTCAGAACCACCTCAATGATGTGCTGGTCAGACGCATCCCGTCCCTGTAGATGAGCAAGGAGAGGGAGAGAGAGGGAACGGTGGATGATAGGATAGTAGAGGATGGATAGAGGAAAGGAATGTGGAGGAGAGGAAAGGAAATAAAAAAACATCAAGCAATCAGTCAGTCAGTCAGTCACTAGCATTCTCTATTGAGTTTAATCACACCACTATCTCACTAATCCGTGTTGTTACGTCAAAACTCGTTAGGACTCACTGCTGCCCCCACAATGCCTGGCATGCCTGGTACTCCTCTCTCCCCGTTGAGGCCGCGAGGCCCGGGCAGTCCTCCTGGTCCCTGGTCTCCTGGTTTGCCTGAGTCTCCTGTGGGTCCATTGAACCCTGTCTCTCCCCTCACACCTTGCTGTGGAGGAATGAGGGACAGATGAGACCCAAAGTGACAATACTGTTTGATAGATTAGCATTGACTAGCTTTGACTAGCTTTAACTAGCTTTGACTAGCATTGACTAGCTTCAACTAGCATCAACTAGCTTCGACTAGCTTCAAGTACCATCTACTAGCATTGACTAGCTTCAGCTAGCGTCAACTAGCGTCGACTTTCTTCAACTAGCTGGAACTAGCTTCAACTAGCATTGACTAGCTTCAACAAGTTTCCACTAGCTTTGAATAGCTTCAGCTAGTTTCAACTTGCTTATATTAGCTTTGACTAGCTTCAACTAGTGCGACATCACACTAGTTTCAACCAGCTTCGATTACTTTTACTATCTAATAATAATAATAATATCTTCGACTAGCTTTGACTAGCTTTAACTAGCTTCGACTAGATTCCATCTACTATGAATGAGGTGCGGTTGGGTGTAACCGCAGTGATGTTCTTACCTGTCCTTTGGGTCCAGGCTCACCACCCAAACCCTGTCGGAGGAGGAGAGAGAGACAGACAGACAGGTCAGTCCACTCCAGTCTGAAATCCTAACTGCAGTAACACAGTTGGGAAGGTAGAAGTTTCCCCTTAGACTCAATCACTCCACTTCCAGAATTTGGCATCTCCCTTTATGATCCCTTCTCTCCCCCGTCCCATCCTGATAAAGCCACTCACCTTCTCTCCTTTCTCCCCAGCCAAGCCTTCTACACCAGGATCACCCTGAAAGACGAGAGAATGAGAAAACACTAATAAAATCAATTGATTATCGGCTATCGCAAAGATTGCCTATTCCAATTGCGTCATATAGGAGTCATCGTGGATACTTCAGTATGCAGCTATGGCATTGGTATAAATCACAGGCTTACTGCTACTCACAAAGTCTCCCTTCGCCCCAACTTTT